ACATACAAACTGATTGATCAAAATAATGTAATTTGTATGTGGAGTGGAAGTAAACGATTTTTCTTGTTAAATTGTATTTTTAAATCTCTAACCCAAGTCACGTGACTAATGTGCGGCTCTGCTCGAATTTACCTAGTTCTTACTAGCTTGTTATAGCTTTTGTTATTGTTGATCCGACAATTAAAGCAGATGCTGATGCCGCTGAGTATATTAAATCAGTCAAGCTGTCATGAAGTAGCAATTGTGTTGGCTCATAAACTTGTAAGTACATACACACATACATTCATACTGCGGTCTGTTACAAGCTTCAATCCTTACAGGAAATCTCGGCGATATGAAAATGTGCAATCAAAACAAAATCACTGATTATGCGGAGTTCAGTAGCCGTTAAAAGATATGTACAAATGTTGAAAGAAAAAGAAAAAAAAACAACAAAAACAAGTTGCAACAACAAAAAACGAAAACAAGTTAGCTGATGACTGTGCAACAAGATGTGCAACATTTAACATTGCCATAGCAAACACGCGCCAATTGTACAAAAAACAACAATAACAAATAAGGCAACAATAATAACCAACAAAATGACAACAGTAACAGCCATTGCAACAACATTAACAGTCAAATACAAGAGTAATAACAACCAAATACAATAATAATAGCAAACCATATAAAAATAACAACAACTCATTCAGCTGATTTATGCCGATGCTGCGCTATTTCAACGTCCGATTGTGTTAATTGCAACTTGCGCGAATCGAGATTAACCGCTGCCACATACAAGAACAACAGGTACATTTTGTGGGCGCAAAACTGGCCGAGCAAGTATTGCGCATGCGCATGCATGGGCGCAATTGACGGCCACCATTAAAGGCCAACCAAGGTAAGTGAATTGGCGTTGAAGGAAATAACCGTTTTTTTTGCGCAGCCAGACACACATACACACCATATATAAACAACATATATGTATATGCAATTTCATGCAACACATGCTGCAACATGCCACATTTAACAGTTAACGCCGCCGCGGCGTGCATTTTGGCGACAAATATGGGTTAAGTGTGCGTCGGCAGCAGAATTTCAATCGCTCGATGCTTAAGTATAACGGCGAAAATGTTGCTGGCATGTTGTTGCAATCACAGTTAACACTTTTGACGCATATTCGGATTTTTTTGATTTATGTGTGCGTGTTTGCTCAATTTTGGTGATGCGTGTATGCGTTGAAAGCATTTGTATAAGAGTAAAAATATGTGTAAATTTTTGCACCGTTTAATCACTTATGGCAAGACTGTCCAATTGTGTACGACAAACAACATGTTGCAGATAAAATGAGGAAAAATAAAATTTAAAAAATTATAATAAAACAAAAACGGCATTTGAGCGCCGCGCTGCATTACTCACTGGCAACGTCGCGGCAGCTTTGCTGTTGTTGTTTTTATTGTCGCATATGCTTTCCTGCATGCTTTCTTTATGTGCCTCATTATTGCAATTGTAATTGCCACTAACACTGCATTTGTTATTGTGACTTGCCGTCATATCATTGTTGGAATTATTTTTATCGGAATCCGTCGTCGCACTGTTACACAATCGCGCTGCGTGGCTGGCCATTGCCATAGACGAACTGGACCAGCGCCTAAAAAAGCACACATCGCTCGCTATGACGGACATTTGTTGTTGTTATTGTTTTTTGTATTACTATTATTGTTATAATTTTGCGTTTTGGTGTGAATTGTCGACGCGATTCTAACGAAAATTTATGCAAGTGAACTTCGGTTTGTTCTAAATTGTTTTTGTAACGCCTCGCATATTTTAGTAGCAACAATAATCGACACTTCTGCGAAACGAAAAACATTTAAAAACATAATTAAGAAGCAAAAAGAAAAAAAAAACAATTTTAGGAAGAAAAAATAGAAGCTGAGCCACTTATTCGCCCTTTGAAACGGCGTATGTGCGAAAACTAAGCGTTTGCTTTGTTTTGGCTAAACGACGGAGCGCACAGCGCGTTTATAATCAAGCAAAACATATTTGCTTGTGCAATTGTATATAGCAGTTTATAAGCAGCTTGTGGGCCTGTGATTCACAATGCACTGCTAACGCACAGGGCAAATAGACGTGCTGCTACAGTGTTGTGACGATATATGGGAGCGCTATATGTATAGTGGAGATGAGTACATTTAAAGCCATCGATAGCATGATAAGGAGCAAGATATTATCTTTCTTTATCTAATTCTTCTTGGAAACCAATATACATATTTCGATGAACGAATACCAAACGAAAAAAAAATGTTAACTTCTGCAGCTATATGCTATAGTGGTCCGATCTGAGATCTGAACAATACATTAGGAGATTATTGCATTGTTTTAGAAAATAATCAATCAAAAAAGTTTCCCAAACTAGACTTGATTTCGAACCACCATTTTGTATGGCAGCTATAGTCTCTACTGGTTCTATAACGACAGTTGCTTGGAGAGAAATGGACGCGTGCAAAATTTCAGACCGTTATCTCGAAAACTGCGGTACTAGTTCACGTATGTACAGACAGACAGATAGACGGACCAATAGATAGGGCATGGCTAAATTAATACGGCTTCTAACGGTGATCATTTATATATATACATTTATACTTTATAGGGTTTTCCACGTTTCCTTTTGGGTGCTACAAACTTCGTGACAAATTTAATATACCCTGTGCAGGGTATAATGACGCTAATAGTATAATTTAAAGTCCAATATACCAGCTCATAATTTTTTAAAAATTTCTTAAATTATGCTCTGATCAATTTTAAACCGATATTTCACTTTTTTCCGGGTACTTTTAAAAATTAAGGTGTGCCCTCCTATTGTGAAATTTTGAAAAATCGATTTTCATATTTCGATAGTTTATACCTTTAAAAAAACATACTAAAATTTTAAATCGATATCTGAAATAGTTTTTTAGTTACAGCCATTGGAAGGGTAGCAGCTCTGTTCAATCCAGTCCACCAGTTTGGTTTAAAACGCGTTTTTCTCCAAACAACATTTTTCGAATTCGATGAATTTTCCAATTAGTGATCACACGAAGATAAATGATCCGATCATCATGAAATTTTTTTTTGCAATTATTGCAAATACGAACAAAATGTAGGGTAGAATTAATTTTTTTTGAAAAACGCCGCCATTGTGTCAATTTTTGATCGTAGGTCATTCTACGGAGAATATCTTCTAGTTTAACGTGAACTTTTTTTTTTAGGTTTTATACACGGAGAAGGCCGGAATCATTGCAGTACTGGAGGACCTGTTTTTTTTTTAGCGCCTTCGGAGATTTCGTATAACTCAAGAAATATTACGTTAATATAGTATTAGTATAATAAATATACCCTGTAAAAAAGTCAAAATGGTAGTTTTTTCAAACTCCTTTTCTTTAGGCTGTCGCACTAGGTGTGTCTCTAAACAAATATAAGCTGAGATAATCTAGACCCATTTATGTTGAATCGGCAAGTATCGATAGAAAAAAAGTTCATTTACTTCATCGAAACGGTACCGGACTTATGTACAGCTAACGCCTGATAAATATAAGAGTTAATAAAGCCCTATTCATACCGACATCGTGCGAAGCTGACTACTGATTCGTCACCAACATAAGTCAGCTTAATCAAGAACAAATTGATGATCAAGATTTCATAGGCACAAGTTTTTAAAACATTTCTTAATGGCATGGATTAACATTTTTTAATTCTTTACTGAGTGCTGTAAAAGTACGTCTTAAGGTTGCTCGCGATTTTCTCTGAGTCGGTAAATTCACACATTATTGATATTTAGTTATTTTAGAAATTTTTATTTTTTTAACATTGCATTGAATTTAAGCAATCCCGACTGTACTTAAAGATGTAGCATTGCATATTGGCTTTGATTATTTGTGAGCCCATAAATATAAATGTGTATTATTTTTATTGAAAATTGTCACAATTTTGGAACCTTATGTGCATACTTTTTTTTGTTTTTTTGCAAAATTTATATATGGAGAATATATGTATATATATAGATAATTTATTTCTGCACTTTGTACACGCATAAATATTCCGAATATTTTCTTTAATAAATATTTTATCACATTTAGCAGGCATATCGCTATATCGCTCATAAATTCCATTTGAAGGTTATATTTTTGTTGTTTTTAGCATTTTAACAGTTAATTCGAGTATTTAAAATATAATGTGGTAATTTTAGTTTCCCATGAAGCATTTTATATGCCTCATTTCCAACATAAAATAATTCTTTATATAAATTAAGAACTGTAATAGCGGAGTATGTATGTATGAATCAAGTCTACGGTAAAAAAAAAAATTGCAGTTATCATTGACGTACATATGTAAACACTTACGCATGTACTAAGTACTTGTACCTAAATATGTATTTTGTGATTTCCAGTTGATCTCCAGTACAATTGCACTGAAAAATTTGTATTTGTATAATACTACTATGTTTAGTTAAGGCTTCGTATACTTATGTACATGTACTTTGTTGATATGCATTTACATAAATATGTACATAGGAACAGCTTTTAAAACGACTTATTGTATTTTTTTATCTATTGCCACCCACATGCAATTGCAAGCTTTATTTGTTAGGGTGGTAAAAAATTATTGAAATTTGAGTAAATTTAATGTTTTTATAAATAATAATTATTTTAATTATATACAATTTTTTTTTAAATAAAATATTTTTTAGAAGTTGTGCTTTAATTTTTTTAATCTAAAAGTGGACTAGAAAGACCTAGTTTCCGCTTAGCGCCCAAATGTAGGCAACGATTTTCGAAAATTTTGAATTTATTAATCATAAGCGCGTTTATTTTAATTATAATTTTAATTCTTATATTTTGAACCAACATAAATTGACTTTAGTGTGAAATATATACGTAAACTGTAGTTATATCTCACAAAGTTTAAAGCGTAATTGCTATTTTGCTAGGTTTAGGATAATCTAATCTATGTTATTCTATATTTCTTTTAATATTTTTACTCACTTGCGAGACAAGTGCTTTGGTTTCGGGTGTTGTACTCTCCAGGAAGATTTTCTTAAATTCACTTGGACTAGATAATTTAAATTCCGCCGCCGATGCGATGAAAGCTTGTATTTCTTGTAAACTTTGTTCGGCAATTTCCGGCGAAGCCGAACATTTCTCGATGCGCTGCGAAGCTAATAGCTCAACGCCATTGGCACACCATTGATTAGCCTGCAAAAATAGTTTGAATTATTTTTAATATAAAATTAAATAAATAGTTTCATATAATTGTTTACCTTTTCTACTCTCTCCATGAGTTCGCGATTCTTGCCAAGTATCTCCACACGCTTGCACAAGCGCTCCGATATTATATCGCACACTCGCTGCAATTCGTCACACTTCGGCTGCACGATCTCCCACGGATAAACGCCGCGTACGCCGAGCAATTGTTGCCCGGCGCTTATAACCTCACCGGCACGCTCAATATCCACACGACTGAGCTCCTGATAGTGCTTCGTATCGGCCATTAGGGTGTCAACACGCTCGACACTCTCGCCGATCTCGGTCATTTCGGCGACGCATTTCAGATGGGCGTCGAAAATTGTCTGCAGCAAAATATAATATATATATGTGTGTGTATGTGTGTGTGTATGAGGTTCTGTTCAAGCAAAACTCACCTGCAGCTCGCGGAAATCCTGCTCGAATCGTCGCAGCTCCAGGCACTGTTGCAGGCGATTCCGATGTGTGCGCCAGAATTCGTCGAAGCGGCGTTCGGTCTCCTCCAGCTGCACCAGGAGTCTACGATAATCGCGACAATCATCAAAATGTTGTGGTTTTTTGAATTTATATTGTTGATGATAGATTATTTGATGAGGTGGACGATTGCTAGCGTTCCCTGCACTGGCTCTGCATGTAAGTTCACAGCCAAATAAGGCGTGGCATTGCAACATTTCGGCATTTAAGCCGTATTTGCATTTATTAAAAGAAAATCATAATTTATTTTTTTTTTGTTTTGTTTTTGGTTTTTGAAATGCAATGTTACACATTTGGTGTTTTTGTAATTGCGGTAAGTTTTTCGTGAAGAATCGGATTTATTGAAGATGCGTTAGAATGTGTTTTTTTTTGTGGCGAATAAAGTGAAAAAGAGAGACAAGAGAATACAATATGCTGATGAGCGCAATGACAGACTAATGAAGCGGTGCGTTGTTTCGCTGAAGTTGTTGTAGAAATTCGTATATGTAAATTAACGAGTGCTCTTTTTTGGTGATGGAGTGCGGGTAAGAATTTTTGAAGTGTATGCCGTGTGTGTGCTTGAAAACCCGATTGAGCGTGGTAATAAGTTTTGGAAATTTTGATAAAAAGATATGTATGAAACTTAAAAAGTACCGTTTGATTGTTGTTGGGTGTTGGAGTGTATACAAAATGGAATATGCTTCGAATGAGCGTGTTCACAATGTTATTCTTGATTTTTTCAGAGCTAAATTTTCTCGTATAATATCTTTTTATGTTGATTATGAATTTTATTCTTAAAAAAATTAAACTAAAATGAAACAAATAATAAAAATAAATAACGTTGCATAAAATATTTTTATAACAACAAATAACGTTGCTATAATTGTTTCTGTATATACAAATGTTATTTATTTGTTTATGTACTTAAAGAAATCTTCTATATTCATAGGCCTCGCACCGTTTTACTTGTGTTATTATGCTTAATGCTATATTTCAAAATATAATAACTCTTAATCAAAGGAAATGTTGTTTATTTTAAGAGCACAATCCTTTTTAATATATATTTAATGCTTGTTTTTAATTTAACTTCTTCATAAACATGCAACATTTAAAATTACTAAATCACTTTTGAAAAAAGCTAATTTTAGGTGTATGTATGTATACTCAATAACAACAACGACAACAACAATATTAACAAGTAAGCGCTTGGTTTTTAAACGGATCCAACTTTATAGAGGAATAAATATTTAGTTATATTTTTTTATATTGTATGAAGCTAAGTTCGTGTGTTGGGGCATGCGATTATGAAGAACTGAGGAAAAAATATGAGAAACAATATTAATCAATAACAAAACAAAGAAAAACATAAACTTTGGTTGTACAGAAGTTATAATACCCTTAACAGGTGTATTTTTTATAGCATAAAGGGTATAAAAAGATCTCTAACTTGATTTTGATCGATATGTTTGTACAGTTATATGCTGCTATACATATATGTATATGATCTGAACTATTTGTTCCAAAATTTTAGCGTTGCTGTGGATAACATTCTATGCCAAATTACATGAAGATAATTTGTTAAATAAAATAGTTTTCCATAAAACCACTTGATTTTGATCGGTCAGTTTGTATGGTAACTATAGGCTATAGAGATCCGATCAGAGCCATTTCTTTGGAGATTGCAACATTGTCTTACGCAATAATTCACGCCGAATTTCGTGAAGATATATCGTCAAATAAAAAAGATTTCCATACAAGAACTTGATTCCGATCGTTCAGTTTGTATGGCAGTTCGATATTTATTTATTTGTTTGCAAACTATTTGGTAAGAATAACTTATATTTCTTGAATAACCTATTTTCATTTTAACTTCTTCATGCTGAAAGCATTTTTTCGGTTAGTTCTGAAATTTTATCGGTTTTTAGATGTAGAAACCATAATTTGCCTATTTCACAAAGTCAAAAATTTTAATATATTTTGTTTTTAAAGATTGGTCCTTTGCCACGATAGACTACGTAACCAGCATTTACTCGTATTTATATTCGGAAATAAATTAGCAACTTATCAACATTCGTCAAAAATATTATGAGAATTTTCACTCCGTTACAATAACAAAAACCTTGACCACTGCGTTTCGCAGACGCTATTTTATTGTAATAAAAACAACTAAATCATAGCTGCTC